CCAGCCCTGCACCTTGTTGTCTCGGATTCTCCAGCATCTGCAGTTCCTACTACCTCTATTGTTGCTCCACTTGTATTCTCCTACTTCCTGTAGCCGAGTGTATTCACCACTGCCAGGATATTCCAAGATTTCTGACACTAATAACATCTCTAAACCTCAGCTGTTACCTGGTCAAACGTTGACAGTCCAGAGGTGCCATTCATTGTGCGCACAGTGGGAGGGCAACTACAAACCAATTGACTCTTTGTTGAACGTTCATACTATATTGTTATTTAAGAACCAAGTGGCACAGCTTATGTGTGCCTAGCCTTATGCCATTTTATGGTCATGTGTCTAAAGTGGTCTTGTGGCATACGAATAGTATCCCTACTTTTGGGCTAGAAGACCCTGGTTCAAGTCCCACCTGCTCCAGAAGTGTGCTACACTATGTATGACTAAGTTATTGTTACCCTTTCTCCGATGTCCAGTGTAGTCCAGCACCTTCTCATTTCTGAATGTGGGACCATCACATACTGAAAATGTTCAAAACATTCACTTTTATTCAGGAAGAAGGTGATGTTCCTACTGCACAGTGTTCTTATCTTCCTCCATGGAAGACTGCTACCACTCTCCCAGCTCATCCACTGCCATCATGCCCCCACATAGCCTGCTCCAGTTGTACACAGTCCAGCGTGCTAGGATTATGCTGCACTCTCTGTCTGGGCTGTACTGTCAGCGTTCACATCACACAGAAATGATAGGTTAACATACTCCAGCAGACAGTGGGATTTGGAGCAGTCTGACAGTGAGGACAATGGAACTTTTCATGGAACTTTGACATAGGACCTTACTATGCTGAATGCAGCACTATTTGTGTCACAAAGAGACAGTAGGATGCTGTAAGCGTTGTATGAATAATGACACATTCTCCTCCCAGCCTCATATCACTCAAGAAAGGCATCAGTGCACATCAGGGTTTGTTGGCAAATACCTACAGTTCAAGTTGAGAGGAAATCAGTTCTGTGCCCCTGTGCAGCCTATGAGATTTTTCCATTATCTTAGTACTTTATAGTCTACAAACGTCTGTGATTACTTCTGCTTCACAGAGATGACTACATGCAATGACCAATGAAATGATCATGATAGCTTGTGAGCAACATTTACACCCCATAGGGACACTGTTTGCATTCACCTTGTTCTGTGCAAGTGCATGATTGATGTACTTGTCCCTTAAAGCTACCTGGCTGTGTGTCTGCTGTAAAATGCAAGGCAATTCAGAACAATTGTGGGCATTTAAGTTCTGGCTGAGAGGGCAAAGTGCAAAAAGGCAAGACAAGGCAAGGCAGGAATGTTGTGAACATCAACATAGGCACAAAGGGAGTGAGCACTAAGACAGTAGACAAGCAGCTCTGAGATGCACCCTGGTCAAATCCATGAAATAGATACCTGTCCCTGTGTGCAAGATGCCCTGGCAGCAGAATTGCAATGAACAATGCTGGGATGTTCCACAGTGCAGCATTGCAGTATTGAAGTGCAGAACGTATTGTACGTGAGTTGGAGCTGTGACTTAATGATGCGGTGAGGCTGAGCATGTCGAATGGTAAGGTCTGATGTATCCATCATTGCCCATGGGCCAAGCTTTGAGATGTTGATGCCTAGTGTCTAAGATGGATATTGGAGTAGCAAGTGGTGAGCTGGATTCACCAAGTAACTGTTCTGACTTACATGTTGGGAATTGTCACCATCTAGTTTCTATCCAGCAGGTGGGAGAATGAAAAGCTACATATTAATGAGGTGAAATTAGGTAGTAATGAGAATAATGAGGGGAGGCGATGGCCTAGTAGTATTATCGCTGGACTGTTAATCCAGAGACCCAAGGAACGTTCCTGGGACCTGGGCTTGAATCCCACCAAGGCAGATGGTGGAATTTCAATTCAATAAATATCTGGAATTAAGAGTCTAATGGTGACTGTGAATCCATTGCCAATTGTTGGGAAACCCATCTGGTTCACTAATGTCCTTTAGGGAAGGAAACTGTCATCCTTACCTGGTCTGGCCTACATGTGACTCCAGACCCACAGCAATGTGGTTGACTCTTAACTGCCCTCTGGGCAATTAGGGATGGGTAATAAATGTTGGCCTAGCCAGCAATGCCCTCATCTCGTGAATGAATAAAGGAAAAAATGGAATTTCATACGTGCTAATACATGCAAATAGGCCTCTCACTGCTCACTATGAGAATCTCATTTCACTGTTGAATCATCCTACCAAGAAACTATACTAAACAATGACTATAACCTTCTTGACATATTTGATGGAATATTCTGTTTTTTCATGAATGGATTGGAAGATTGTATGTACATTTAAAATAGAATTGTCACGCTATGACTATCCTCAATTATCATTTATTCATGAATATAATATAATCTAGAATTGATTCTTATAACAAATATTCATAAGCAAGCATTAAAACTTTGCAATCTCACACTTACATCCTCAAGAAACCACAAACCGATAACGATATCCTAGAATTCTTAAATGACAAGGTGTAGAGCTGGATGAACACAGCAGGAAAGCTGACGTTTCGGGTCTGGACCCTTCTTCAGAAAAAGGGTCCGAAGAAGGGTCCAGATCTGAAACGTCAGCTTTCCTGCTCCTCTGATGCTGCTTGGCCTGCTGTTCATCCAGCTCTACACCTTGTTATCTCAGATTCTTCAGCATCGGCAGTTCCCACTATCCCTAGAATTCTTAAGTTAGGATTCTGTATGCTGATATTGTTTAGATTAAACAGGTTATTTCAGCTATAATATTCTATCCTAAGATAATATTGCTCATCTGAAAACTCTTCAGGGTAGAAGGACTGTTGCAGGACCCAGTCTGTATCTAGTAACACTCACTTAGTTTCTTCAATGATCTGAAGTGTCTCTTTGTTGACATTTTAAGGTGACAATAGGTTCAAATGAATATGTTTGCCTTACTGTGGAGTAAAGATAATAAAACCATTTACAACACGAAACCAGCATGTAAAGCTGGGCTTCCATAATCCATAGCAGGATGTAAGCTACAATTCCCTGACACTGTTGGGCTTTTTTTGGTGGGAGGTGTGGGTGGGTAATTTTTGTTGTAGAATGCAGCATGTTTGATATGGTTATGTAAATATTCTCTTCCTTTCAGTCACTTGTGGTCAAAAAGCAGCGACAACCAATTACACTGTTGCCATGGGGAGGATTGTTGGTGGGAACAGAGCAGCTCCTGGGAGCTGGCCATGGCTGGTATTGTTAAAACTGAATGGGAATGTGATGTGTGGAGGCGTATTGGTGCACCATTCATGGATTATGACAGCAGCACATTGCTTCACAGGGTGAGATTGTTTCTGATGCTATGGAGAACGACCAGAAATAAACTTAATATGAATCAAAAGCCAATAAAGAACTATTATTTATAGATGTCCTTGTAACTTTTTGTAGGTTGAATAACATCATTTACCAGTGTACTGACGTGAGCAAGTTTACATGGGGAGAGGGTCTGGCTGGCACAGACACACACCCAATAGAAATTTCCCAGGTTACTTACCCATCCTGGAGTCCCCAGGAGGTGATCTGGTTCTAGTTTGAACTGCTGTGTTCAACAAGTAGTAACAACCTGCACAAAGCCAACAGGGATCCTTTTTAACATATGCATGTTACAGATTTGTGGGCCTACTGCTATTTCACTCAGAGCCATGAACGAGAAGGGACAGTGAATTTCTTACCAGGCTAACCCAGTAAAGAAGTGGATTGAGGATCAAAAAGACAAGTTTACACTTTTTTAAACTATCTGCTGTGGACATATAATAAATACTGGGGCTTCCAAGGTACAATGTCTCCATGTCTTTCTAATCATGGACAGCTTTGTCATGAGAGATCAATCTTAGAGGACAGCTTCTGGAGCCCATCTTGCTGATCTTACATGTGGCATTTAAATGAGTCCTGGGATTTAGCGAATATTTAATATTTAATCTGAGCATCCATCACTGGGGCAGACAATTCCCAAGATTAATAACCCACTGATATACCCTCACCTCAGTTCTAAAAGACTGTCTCCTTAACCTGTGACTATGCTCTTCGTTCTAGACTCTCCAGCAGGGTAAAATGTCTTAGTATCTATACTGTCAACCCCTCTAGGAAAGTCATATATTTCCATAAAGGTATCCCTCTATCTCTTAGACTGCAGCAAATAAAGCCCCATTCTATTCAATAACAAGTATATCCAATTGTCCTGTGATATCACCAAACCCAAAAAGTTCTTCATTGTCTATCAAGTAGTTTGGGATATCCCAAGATTGTGGAAGATATGACATAAATGAAAGTCTTTTCTTTGCTTTTACATTCAGGAACAGAAATGAGAATTACTGGCAAGTAGTTGTTGGTGAATATGACTTGAAAAAGCAAGGTACTGAAGAAAGAATTTTGCAAATCAACCGGATCATCACACACCCCAAGGTAAAGTGGTTCATTCAAAATTTGCACCCTGAATTTTATTGACTTGTACATTAACTCAGTATACATTAGGAAAGCTCCTGGTCAGACGCAGGGAAAGTTATATGTGCTTGGGAATTGCAGGATTGCTTTTCGAAATGGAAATTCTGTGTCACTAATTTGATTGAATATTTTGAAAATTTCACAAAGTTGCCAGATGACAAGTAGCCCTACGTCTGTCTTTATTTCCAACAAGTATTTTATAAAGTGGCCAATAGGAGGCTATTAAGGTGAAATTTCATGTGGAGGAATTAATGAGCAAAGTTTCTGTTGGATATGTTGTACTCTGGTAATCAGAAGACACAGATTTATGAAAGTAGATTCTACAATTCCAGCCTCTTCATCAGCCCCAAGTTTTACCACGGTGACCAATCTGACCAACTTAATGGAAAATTTAAGCTGTTAATTAAGCTAAAAGGAATTACTGGAAATAAAATGCACCAATGCAGTATTTCAACTGGTGCTAAGAAGCTAAAAGAAAACACTATAAAGAAAAGCATGGCACATTTAGGGATCTTGGAGGCTTTGCTGCTAAGAGAAACAACATAACCAAAGCGATGGGACTTGTTTTGTGGCCATGCAATGAACAAGAAAAGCCTTTCTCATTGTCACGCAGACAGACTATAAGTCATAAATAGCAACACATATACACAGAGAGAGGAAGATCAGCCATTGTAGTACAAAAAAGGCCCTTTGAAAAGTTGAGAAAAGACTTTCCAAAGTAATTATACTGGATTATGTGTATAGTTTTCTTTAAATCTTATTGATTAAACATCCAAAATGTTAATGAAGTGCATTAAATGTTATCAATTTATTTGAAGTAGAATAGTTATAACTATCATTAGTTGACTGTATCACTACACTGCAGTATCAAGACAATACAACATTGAATATTTACTCAGAGTAGTTATCATGTATATAATGAGATAATTCTCTTTGATTGTTGTATATTCTATAAAACAGTATTCATTCCTATAATGTAATTTAGAGTTAATTTTTACAATAAATGTTAATAAGCAATTATAAAAAAGTTGCAGTGTCATATTAAATTCTCACATGCGCACATTTAGGTCACAGTATCCTCTAATCAAATTAGGATTCTAAGTGCTGATATTGATAAACTTAAATAAAAATGCTTCTGCTATAATAAACTTGTAGCTATATGCTACTGACAATAAGTTTGCTGGTTTAAAACCTCCTGAGGGAGACATTTCATTGGAGGACATACTCTATAGGGTGTAAAGCTGACTAAGTGCATTTAATGATCTGAAATTTCTCTTAGTTGAGATTGACAATAAATTTGACCTTGCCAGCTGATAAAGATAGTAGAACTATTAATAGTACTTTACCATTGGTGGCTGTGGCTTCACCTACTTTGACTCCATGCTCTGAAATTCCTTCCCATGAGCTGGGTTTTCAGCTTGCAGACAGGGACGAGGAGGTGTGAAATTTCCTAACCTGCCTGGGGAGAAAATGCCCTGAGTAGCATGATTTTAAGTCCATGAAGCAATTGTTTTGTTCCACAGCAAGGTCTACAGTCCCCAGATACAGTTCAGAGGCGGCCACAGGGGTTAACAAGTGCTGAGGTGAGCTAACTAAAAGTTCTGAGTTCTCTAGAAAATCATCAAACACTATTGTGTTATTAAATATACTCTAGCCCTCATCCCTCACTTCACTTAGTCCCAGTTACACCCCATGCTTCATAACCCATATACCTACCCACACCCAATGGCCATTTATAGCCCCTATGCTAATTTAGTGCCAACTCATGTCAATCCATTTCCTTCACTCACCAATCACCCTTTGACCTTACACCATTCACGCCCCTACTCACCTACCCTCCTCTCTCAGTAACCACCATGAACAGACCTCAAGAGCTATGTTAAATATCTTATCAATTTCACTGTATAAAAAGAAAACTTTCATTCATTAAAGCCCTTTCAATACATTTAAATCCCTTCAAGTATTTAACTCCTTCTAAGAAGAAACATTTGTATTCACAACCACACATTAACATGCCCATGTAGGGTGTGTTTTGGCAGGGGTCACCTAAAATAGGTTGGGTGGCTAGCCCAGAACCCTCTTGCACACCCCATAATATGTTACAGGGGAAGATACCAAAATTACCACTAGCCCATATTTAAATACATAACTAAGGGTCATTTAGGTTAGTTAACAGTCTATTTACCTGAATAATAACCAGGCCAGATCAAAATGTGATTTGCATGGGCAGTTGGGTGGAAGTGGGCAGGATGTTTTTAAAGTTCTACATGAGGAAGTGTGGGAAGGAAGAGGGAGCATATAATTTTGGGCATGCCTTCCGCACATCGAAGGCATTTCCCCAAGATGTCATTGCCCCTTCCTTCCATATTGTCTGCCCGACAGAACATAGTACAACATTTCCTCCCATTCCTTCCTGGGCTGTCAGATCTCTCCCAGCACCTACGGAAACCATGTTCCTCTTTGAGAGCCTTCCTGTACTCACTGTAGCACTTACTACTGAGCTCTGGTACTGTAGGCACTGATGGAACTGCTGGCCAATCAGATTGGTTGGTAGTTCATGCGGGAGGGTCATCCTCTCACTGAGGGGTGGGAGTCCCATTTTTAACCACTTTAGCCCACCTGCAGTGTTGTATGGCTACAGTGTGGCATTGTATGGAACAAATCACCTTCCAGTTTTTGCCGTCAGCCCCACCATCCCCCCCATAAAATGGAGTCCCTTGTTAGTTAATTACCTTGCTAAGGCTGCTGAACAGGATACAGAAATGAGGTTTAGGTTGACACTCACAGCCAGTATCTCCCAGGTATTTGAAAAGTGAGTTTTAGAATTTTGACAAATAATTTTTAAAAATACTCCTATTGTGCAAAATATAGTTCTCAATGGTTACAATTTATAGTTCAACAAACCTGGAGAAATGTAACAGACTCAAAGCCAGCAAATCCCCAGAACCTCGGGACCTATACCCTAGGTTTCTAAAAGTGGTAGCTGCTGAGATAGTGGATGCACTAGCTATGAGTTCCAAAAGTCCTAGGATTCTGGAGCAGTTCCAGCAGATTACGAGTTTACAAAAGTAAGGCCACTGTTCAAGACAGGAGGAAGAATGAAACATGAGAACTACAGACCCATTAGCCTCGATGTCAATCGTTGGGAATGTATTGAAATTTGATACGACTGATGTCTTCGAAAAGCATATTTCAAATTAAGTCAACATGGTTTTATGACAGGGAAATCGGTTTGACAAATTTATTGGTTTTGTGAGGATGTAACCAGTAAGATAAATAAAGGGAACCAATAGATATAGTAAAATTTGAACTTTCAGAAGGCATTTGATAAGGTATCGCACAAAATATTACTACTCAGGATAAGTGTTCATGGAGTTGGAAATTATACATGAATAGAAGTTTGATTCACAGACAGGAAATAAAAAGTAGAGATAAATGGGGTATTTTCAAGTTGGGAGGTTGTGACTAGTGGGGTGCTGTAAGGATTAGTACTGAGACCTTTGTTAAATCAATATTAATGATTTAGACTAGCAGATAGAGGACAATATAATGATAATACAAGGCCAGGTGGAGACACAAGATGTTCGGAGAGCACAAAGCTGTTTGGTGTGGCACGGTGGCTCAGTGGTTAGCACTGCAGCCTCACAGAACCAGGGACCCGGGTTTGATTCCAGCCTCGGGTGACTGTCTGTGCGGAGTTTGCACATTCTCCCCATGTCTGCGTGGGTTTCCTCCGGGTGGTCTGGTTTCCTCCCACGGTCCAAAGATGTGCAGGCTAGGTGGATTGGCCATGCTTAATTGCCTGTAGTGTTCAGGGGTGTGTGGGTTATAGGAGGATGGGTCTGGGTGGGATGCTCCAAGGGTCGGTGTGGACTTGTTGGGCCGAAGGGCCTGTTTCCACACTGTAGGGAGTCTATGAAAGAAATATAGATATTTTAAATAAGTGGACATGAGACAGATAGAATAAAATGTAGGGACATATGAAGCTATCCACTTTGGTGTCAAAACAGGAAAAGTGATTTTTAAAAGCCATGAACTTGTAAATGTTGATATTCAGAGAGCTTTAGGTGTACTCATGAAAGGAATGCAAAGAGTTAACATGCAAATGTGGCAAGCTATAAGGGTAGCAAATGGCAATGTTGGCCTCTATTACGAGGGAGTTGCAATGCAAGAATACAGAAGTTTTTCATAATTACACAAGACCATTTCTGGAAACCGTGTGCAGTTTTGGTGACCATATTGAAAGGAGAAAATACTTATACTGGAGGCAGTGTAGCAATGACTCAACAAATTGGTTCTTAGGAAGTGACAGTTGTCCTACGATGAAAGGTTTGGTAAATTGGGTGGTCGCTATACTCTGGAGTTTAGAAGAATAAGAGGTGACCTCATTGAAACATTCAAGATTATGAAGCAATTTGAAAGACAGGTACCAAGATGTTGCTTCTTCTGCTAAGGAATGTAGAACAAGGGGCCAATCATTGAGGACTGACATGAGGGGAAATTTTGTCATCAGAAGGGTTGCAAATCTTGGTAATTATCTACTCAAGCAAATCGAATGCTTCATTATAAATACATTTAAAGGTTAATAAAGACAGCTTTTTGGTCTCATTGGGACTCAAGAGATATGGGCAACAGGAGGAAAGTAGAGTTGAACCTCAAGATCATCCACGTTTTTATTGGTTGGTGGAACAAGCTAAATGAGATATCTGGTCCTCCTCTGCTCCTATTTCTCATGTTACTACTTTCTCATGTTCTCATATGAGGTCTAGGATGGGATATCTGAATTGGTATTTCAACAAGAAATAGTAAGTTTGAACTTTTCAACTTACTTTTAAAACATTATGATGACTGTCCTTGATTACTCCCAGCAACTTGAAATATTCGCTCATTATCCATCACACATGATTCCATAACAATAATCAGATCATATCTTCTGTTATCTATGACTTTCTGCAAAATAAATACAATAATCTTTCACATCAAATTCGTTGAACCCAATAATTGAGTATTGATGTGCACCATACAGTTCAAGTTTGGTGTTTTACATATTGAAAAAAATGTCTTCCACATCTTCACTATCCATTAACAAATAGCTTATATGGAATGTTAACTGAAGTTGAGTAGATTCCTGACTTCCCCAGCTGTCCTTGCTTTAAAAATTCTAGTGCATTCTAGAGATGAAAGGGCATACACATGCTACCCAGGTGGGTAATTTTTAAAGCACACCTGCTCCCATATTTTCTCCTGTTGGGCAATTGGAACTCCTTTCACTATGTCTGGATTAAAGTTAATAATAGTAAAGCTAATTCAGAATATGAGGAAACAGTTCATGTTCATGGAAAATGTTGAATTCAGAGTGAGATTCACCACAAATTTTCAAGGTATCTAGTAGGTTATATGTTTATTTATTCTAGTTTAACCAAAGGACGTTCAACAATGACATTGCCCTCCTGGAATTGACCGTACCTATAGCCATATCAGAACATGTGAACTTTGTGTGTTTGCCGGAAAGCATTGGAGAGCTTCCTCCTGGGACAATGTGTTACATTGCAGGCTGGGGATCACTCTATGAAGGTAAAGTGGAAAAGCAAGTTCAAATTACTGACCACTGTTTTTGGTTTAATTCTCATAATATTCAATGCTGGAAAATTAGATGAGTGTAGCCTGATCTTTGTTGACCAAGTGCAGATACGATGGGCCAAATGGCTTCCTTCTGTCCTGTTAACATCTAAGAACCTATGAGTTCATTCTACTTGTGCTCTACTGATTTGACAATGTAGTTGCTGTGTTCATTGTTATTTCAAAGTCATCACTGAAATTACTAAGACCACTGGATCTCTTCAAATATTTATTCATAATTATCACAATATCTTTCATGTAGTGCCTACATCAGCCATTTCTCGTCCTTTGTGAAAGGACATTTTTCATATTAGCTTTTACCCACAATGGCTGCACTTACAAATCATACATTTGAGGTGCCATATCAAAGATTATAGTGGAAAATAGAATCCCATGGTGTTGAAGGTAACAAATTGGCATGAATAGGAGACTGGCTAGCAGGAAACAGACAGTAGATGTAAATGAGATAGCAGGAACTGCAGATGCTGAAGAATCTGAGATAACAAGGTGCAGAGCTGGATAAACACAGCAGGCCAAGCAGCACCGAAACGTCAGCCTTCCTGCTCCTTTGATGCTGCTTGGCCTGCTGTGTTCATCCAGCTCTGCATCTTGTTATCTCTTATTATAGTAGATGTAAATGGATCATTTTCTAGTTAGCAAGAAATAACAAGTGGGTGTGCTGGGATCTGTGCTGTGGCTTCCACTGTTTAAAATTTATATAAATGATTTGGATGAAGATACTGAAGGCATGGTTGCTAAATTCTCTAAGTACCTAAAAATAAATAGAAAAATAAGCTGTGCAGAGAATAGAAGAGGCTACAACAGGTAATATATAGGTCATGTGAGTAGGTAAAGATCTGGCAAATGAAATATAAAGTGATAAAATCTGAAATTATCCATTTTGGCAGGAAGAATAAAAAAGATGTGTATTATCAAAATAGTGAAAGATTGCATAGCTCTGAGATGTACTGTCTTAGGATTACAAAGGGATAGCATGCAGATACAGCAAGTAATTAGGAAATCAAAAAGAATGTTATTATTTATTGCAAATGGGACTGAATACAAAATTAGGGAAGTCATGCTTTAGTTGTACAGGGCTTTGTTAAAACCAGACCTTGAGCAGTGTGTAAAATGTTATCACCTTATTTAAGAAAGGATGTAAATGCATTGAAAACAGTTGAGAGAAGATTTACCAAACTAATACCTGGAAAGGCAATTTGTCTTATTAGGAAAGATTGGAGAGAGACCGGGTTTGTATCCACTGGAGTGTAGAAGACTGGGAGTGACTTGATTGAAACATAAGATCCCAAGGAGCTTGACAGGTACTTATGAAAAGGATGTCTCCTTTTGTAGGAGAATCTAGAAATAGAGGTTATTGTTATAACATAGAGAGTCACACATTTAAGACAGATATAAGGCAATTTTTTCACCGTATGACATAAATCAATCTTTGGAGCAGAGTCCGCAAATATTTTTTAGGCTGAAGTAGATAGATTTTTATTAAGCACAGGATAACAGGTTAAGCAGGAATACGGAGTCATGAGATCAGTCATAATCGTATTGAATAGTGGAGCAGGCTCAAGAAGCTGACTGGCCTATGCCCGCTCCTGTTTCATATGTTTGTATGTTTATACAGTGCTATAAGGATTTGTACATTATAACATAATTTTGAGAGAGTGGTATTCAAATAAAGACTGTTGATCTGCTTTCTAACCTCTTTTTCATTTACTATTTTCCTATATGTCAGTTCTAGCGTAACTTTCAAACACCTGCCTTCCTCCCCTTCCCAAACGACATACTCTTTGGAAATATTTGTTTAGTATCATGCAAATCCTGATTACAAAAATATGTCAATCCTTGACATCATTCAGGTTAGTTATATATTAAAAGTGCCATGAATTGAAGGAAAATTGCTGAAAAAATAATCACCATAACTTTTTGTTACAAACTCCTCAGGATGAACACAAGAGTGCCAAATTTCAAATGACCACAATTTATGTTGAAGGAGAAACTGGCACCGATTAGTTGGCAAATTGAATCTAATTGACTGAGATGTTGCCATGGAAAAAGCAACAAGGAACCAAAGGTTTCCCAAGTTTGTGTAATTCAATAAAAGCACAAAGCTTGAGCATATTCTCTTTGTTTCTTAAATGGTTCCTTGCACATGATGTTTTCAGAAAGTGTAAATGAGTCATGTTATAAACTCAATGGATTATCTTAAATGCTAACTCTATGTGCTATAAGACTGGCCTTATCAACGATCTTGTTAAAAAGTGCCATTTGCTCACCTTGTAGGCCTGATTCAGAATTCGGACACATCAAAGCTATCCTGATCACATCGTTGTTTGCTGTGAACTGCACAAATTTGCGAATGGGCTAAAGAGTTGCTTCTTTTCATGTGTTTCTGGTCATCTCAATTTGCCTTGGAAAAGCAAACAAACTGAAAACTTTCCAACAAATCAAATGGAATGTTTCTTCAGTGGCTTGTAATTAGCAGAGTATGTACAATACTCAACCAGACCATCTCGCGAAACCCAAAGCAAAAGGCCTCCTGCTAGAAGTAAATCTGTATTTGGGCAGTTTCTGTTTAATGCTTTGGGACCCATTCTCTGCAAATTAAAGAAGAATATGTAATCCTTGTGCCTTTTTTGAATTACCCGGACATTTGGAGAAATTATAGTTCTCTCCTTCTTTCTCCAAGTAATGCCTCCTCTAATCAACACTGTTTTCTCCTGCTGCATGAGTTGTTCTGACCATTTGAAATTTAACATTCTTACATTTGTCTTCATGTGTGCAAACAAAATGTTCAGCAACATATCTCTATTTTCAACAGTACTCAAGTTCAATACTTGCAAGTAACTGCAGGAAAATTGTGCATCTGGATTGGCAACACTCCATTAATGAAACAGTAAACATGTTTGTTGAATTGTGGTTCTCTTTTCTTCACATAAACAGATGGACCATATGCAGATGTGCTAATAGAAGCAAAAGTGCCTTTGCTGGGTCAGAGTACATGTAGATCTGCACTAGGAAAGGAGTTGGTCACCAGTCAAATGTTTTGCGCTGGGTATCTATCCGGCAATGTGGATTCCTGCCAGGTAAGCTATCCACCATCAAAACACAGGATGCTGGAAATCTGAAATAAACGCAAAAATGCTGGAAGTACTCAGCAGGTCAGGCAGCATCTGTGGAGGGAGAATTCACACTAATAGTTCATCAGTCTGAAATATAAACTTTGCTTTTCCAATGATGCTGCTTGACTGTTGAAATGTTCCAGCATCTGATAGTTTTACTCAGGATATCTACAAGGTTGGTTCATATGTGACAGTGGTAGGTGAAAGAGATATAACTACACTTTGCGTTGCATTAACATTTATAAAACCTGACTGTTAAGGAGAATTAAATGGGATTGAAATGGACAGTTCTAATGTGAAATTAGTGGTAACACAGAAAAACTTGGCCAAGTGGCCTTGTTTAGCATTGAAGATTTTTTGCTAAGTAACACAGATTAATGTAAATGTGCAAATCCAGGTTTCTGTCAAAATTTAAAGAAGGTTCAATAAAGAAAGTTAATTGGATGAAACACTGTCCAGAAACAGAACTTTGGTTACTGGGAGCACATTTCAGAATCAAGGGTGAACTCCCCAGGATCAACTAGTGGATAGAAAATGTTGGGAATGCACATGTGCAAGTCAGATACTGCATGAATTACTCGCCAAATCACATGGTGACCAAGGTGGAAACTCTAGAGTCTGGTGTGACCTTCCAGGGTCAAATGTTCAGGTGCCAACTGGACACTACTTCAGATGCTGCAAACCAGGAACTTCCCCTCCATTCTGTGGTGGTCCCCTCTGAACCCCAGAGGTGTCTCCTAAGAAATCCAAGCTGGTCTCCTGCTTCATCAAAGCTGGAGGATGTATATTATCACCCAAATTGCTTATCATTTGAACCCACAGTATTTTGTCAGTTGTTGCAGTCAGCAGACTTCGCGACTCCTGCTGTCAGGTTAGATATAATTTGTCAGAGCCCTGGGTCCACAAAAGTCACCAGAATATGCTAGTCAGCAGGATGTCTCCATCCTAGCTCCAGAAGTTGGGCCTGATCCAGATGCAGTGAGGACAAGAGACAAAAAACTTCTGAGGTCACATCCATGGTATAGATGTTCAATCTTTGCACAGAGTAAACAAATGTGTGGAATATATATTCATTTGCAGTATTCTAACATATATTGTGGGTTTATTGTCCCAACTGGACAGGATAAGTTCTCCAAATTTAAATATATGGAACAACTTCAACCAGAAAAAGAAGACATCGTGTTATAATTACTACATCTTGGAACCTTTGTCCTAAACAGCAAAGTGGGTGACTAGAGATCGACTCATCCATCAGGGAGCCACACACCTATTTGGTGGAGATTGCAGTTGAGGCACTGCAGATGAATCTCAGGGACACTGAGGGTCTTGTAGAGGAATCAGACTCTAGGAGGCCCAATCGCTGATTGCCACACACACACCCTATGACACAAGGTTGGAATCTGTCGTGTAACTACTGGCTCAAGGGAGACAAGGTCTGTCTTGCGCCTGGGGTTCTCAGAAGCATGACAGAATATGTTAGGGAGTGAGGTTGGCAATGGTAAACTCCCATCAATTTACCATTAGCGCGGAGCTGAATGGAGGAAACAGGTCCACATTTTGCAGCCCATAGTGTTGGAAAAGTTTTCAGTGAGGGTTGCTCGGGCCTTATTTCAATCTGCAGCACTGCAGGGCAATTGAGCATGTAAGGTGCATCAGGAACAGTTTCAGGATTTGGAACAACTCTGTAGTATCCACCAGGAAATGGACTCCTCAATACAACTCATACATCTTGAACACAAGAAACAGTTTTGCAGCAACATCCAGGAGGCAGTGAGTGAAGATTGTACATGCCTGATTTTGCAGTTGGGTTTCTGAAGCATAAGAATCTCGAATGGGAATTTAACTTGGGAAGCGAAAGTTAATTTTGGTGAGAAGGGTTATTTTATGTGATTTAAGTGTGTGTAAACAGTCTTCTGGCAACCTAGCAGCAAGAAATTGACCTCTTCATTTGATGAAGGAGGACTTAATTGTGAAAGTTTATCTCAAAAGCAAAAATCTGATTTTTGGATTCTCACCTAAATAAATCATCACAGTCGCATTATTCTCAACCTGTGGAGGGGAAAATTGTGCCCATCATTTCCCAAAGTTTCCCAGTGAATGAGGGTTCAGATTTGGGGTGTGAATTCATTCAATAAGCCATAGCTTTCTTTCACAAATAATGCTCTAGTATGCTTTAATGCTTTATGTATTCAAATATGGAATACATTTAAGGATGGGGCAATTTAATTTAACTCAATTTTTTATGAGTTTCGTTTCTTACCTGTTTGTTCGATAATGTTTTTTATTAATGAAGGAACATATTCAATTTTCTTTGTCCTGGTCAAATTTGATTTTAATTTTATGAATTGGGCAATTCCCCAGAGCATTCAACAAAACTGCAGAGAGAGATTAAGGATCCAGAAAGGCTCCCTGTCCAGTCAGCAGTAAACTGGTTGACTCTCAACTACCCTCTAGGCAATTAGGGAAGGGCAATAAGGGCTGGCCCACCCAGCGATACCCTCATCCTGTGAATGAATTTAAAAAAACTGCCACATTACAGTCAATGTTCAACAAACCTCATATTCAATTTTAGGTAATATTGAGTTTAAAACTGTGCATAGTGGGCAGGTAAAGACATATTTGAAAACATAGTGGGCAAAGGTTTGCTTTTGGGAAAGAGCTGAGTTGCTGAAATCTGAAAATATTCTACAGGAACTAACTCAAAAATGTAACACTTTGAGGCCACGTTTCACAACCTAGTGTTCCAGTTTCATGCTGTGAAAGCAGATATTAGAAAGTCAGATTATGAGGCAAGAGCATTCCATTTTCAAACACTTGTGGTCAGAATACAGGTGTTGCTGGCAACCTTGTATTTTTATTGCCCATTGCCAGTCACTATAGAAAGGTAGTTGTGGGCCTTCTCCTGGAACTACTGCAGTCCTTTTGTATCGGTGCTCCCATGATTGTGCTGGGGAGGGGAGGGTTGCTCTGTAACTTCAATCCGGCTTTGAGGAAGACACAGTAATGTATATCCAAGTCAAGATAGTGGGAAGTATGGATGGTGGCATAGAAGTGCTGGTGTTCCATGGGCTTGCTGTTGTTGTCTTTCTTGGTGGTAGAAGTCACAATTTTTGTCTAATATCATGGGGGAACACAATAGGGAATTAGAGATAACAAGGTGTAGAGCTGGATAAACACAGCAGGCCAAGCAGCATCAGAGGAGCAGGAAAGCTGACGTTTCGGGTCTGGACAGTTCCTACTATCTCTGAAACAATAGGGAATCAGCAGCCTTCACATTCAAATTCTTACAATGGATTCCCATTCGATAAAACTTTATATTGCAAGCATTAAGTGAAAAATTTGTCAAGAGTAGAGTCACTTTTCCTACTGAAAGATGAATTAAATTGAACGCGTTATTCAACATCAAGTCATATTGACTCTGAGAACAGGATGATGATGTAAATGATGTTGTTAAAATAGATTTACTCAGCATGAATTCACTGTTAAAAGCATTATTGTTGCAAATAAATGAGAAGATTAAGCTTTTTTGAAGTTTTTTGGGGTTTGGTGACCAGCTGAGTCACAGAACATAAATGTTCAGGGTGGATTTCTGCTTCCTATTGAGTTAACTGTTCACAACGAATTGGCAAAATCACCACCAGATCTGACATCAACAGCTCTCATATGTGACAGCAAACAGGGCTCCTGGTTACTCAACTGCAGCTGTTTCTGGAAGTGTGCATATGTGCAAAGATAATTTAAGGCAAGTTCCATCTTAAGCTATAAGTTGGATAGCTTCCTGACAGTCGCTGTCTGGGCTCCTATGCAAATAATGTGGGCTAGCCATGGGATTGGAAGATGATTGGAAGACAATTATAGGTCTGGGAAATGGAAAAAAAGGGCAAAATTGATTTAAACAATTTTTTACATCTTAAAGATATTATTAGTGCTTGAATAATACATCCTCTTGTCTTCTCCTTTTTATAGGGAGACTCTGGAGGACCATTGACCTGCATAGATCCTGTATCTAAGCAATATTACCTGTATGGGATTACATCATGGGGTGATGGCTGTGGACAGCCAGGAAAACCAGGGGTCTACTCCAGGGTACCCAGTTTTATCAACTGGATTAACAATGAAATAAAAAGTAAATATCTTTATGTTATATCACAAGCTTCCTTTTACAATTGTTCTAAACTGTGTTGTAAGCTGTGGAAGAAGTTGCTTCTGATGAATATATTGTTTCAATGATTTATGTAAGAAGCCTATATGCTATAAAAGGAGAAATGGTGCAGGCCTTTGGGAAAGTCTGGGAGTAGAGCTTATTGGATAGTTTTTTCAAACAGTCAGTACAAACACACTGGGCTATGTGACTTCCTTCTATGATGTAAAAGTTGATGATTCAATGCCAGCCTAGAGAAACATCTAAAGGTAGCCAATAGCTTCAAAATGTTGACAGCATCTCTCAGAAAACTGACAAGAACAGCCTGATCACAAGCTGGTAAGTGTGAAGTAACTTACACATAGTTATACCCAATATTCCTTAAATTTGTAATAAAGCAAAAAGACAGCTGGAAATGAAAACCTGAAATGAGAAAATTAAACATTAAAGTACAAACAAGCAATGTATTTCTAGGAGAATCTGACAGTATTCCCTTCTATGTTGGCATTAATTTGATGCATTCTGAGTCATTTTAAGTATTGTTGGATTTCATGCTTAATCTAATAGCTTTTGGAATTTCAACTAAGCAAGAAAATTATTATTTCTTCTAATTTACTGTAAGTGACAGTCTCCCACATCCAAGCTCCCCCACGATTCCTTTACTGCTTCAGTGCTCTGTACTCAACTGGTCACCATTCCATCTAATTTTCTGAGTGAACCTCCAAGACCTGTGTTTGATAATGACCTCCAGAACTTGAAGTCAATGCTGCAATCAGTATCCGCACAGCCTATAGGAACATTGCAACCAACCCACTTGTATTTCACTCCTCTTCAAATGTTCTAATTCATACTGTCAATTTTCTCTACATCATCCTTCAACTCAATTTCATACTTCTTTTCCTCCAACCAGATTTAAATTGGTTTTCATCTTCTATTCTCCCATGCAAGATGTAATCTTCTTTCCCATAAACTGTTCAAGCTCGTCGTGTCCTTGCAAATCCTCCTCAACACTTCTTCCACATCCTCCATTCAAAACGACAACTTTCTCTACACTCTGTTTCACCTTGCCCTCATCTTCCTTATACACTGTTGAAGATGCTACTCTGTCTCCTCAGTTCATGCTGGTATTTCTCCCCCTATCCTAGTAATGTTGACATTATTATTCCTTCCCAAACTTCAATCTGCATTCTTCTGCTTAGCTTTTACTTCCTTTTCATTTTTTATGAGAAATTTTTTTCTTTCTTCTATTTCCATCCATCATTCCTTCACTGACATTGTTTTTATTTCCTTTTACCTTCTCCTCACTCCTTCATTGCCATCTATTCTCCTTCACTAATATCTATTTTTCTCTTCATTTGTACCATCTCTTCTCTCCCCTTCCATTTACAAATTGTCCCCCTCGTTGACATATATTTCCCCTTCATTTCCAAACATTCACCTTCATTGACATCCATTGTCCCAAACAATTGCCATCCAGAATCACCTTCTTTTCTATCAATCTAAATTATTTCTACTCCAATTTCTTCATTGCTACTTACTGTCTTCTTCTTTATCCACTCTACCCTTCTCCCATTTTACTTGAATCTGGCTGCTACTTGACTGAATTGGCCAATGTTGCTTCGGCTGCTAATAACAATGATTCCAACATTATGTATTGCAAATCAAACTCCTTTTCTCAGAAGAATTCACACCATACTGTACATGGCCTAGAATTCTTTCTATTAATACTGTTGAGAACAGAGTCTGGTCTTTCAGAGCTAGAAGTGCAATGGGATTGTAAAAAAAATTGTACAGATTGGCTGAGAGATTGTACTGATGAGAGAGTGGACTGGTCTTTAGGGACTATTGTCAAAAAATCATTGATGTACTTACTAGGAACCTGAACATTGATCAACAAGAGGAAATTCCGAAGATTAAAGTCTGTAAATGTACAAAGCCAAGCTCTGCAATCAGAGAACTATTGTATGTTGTAATAATTGCATTTTAATATGGGCATACTACACATCTGCTGTTGAAGAGAAAGAGAATACAGTTAGAAATCCCAGCCAAGAACTTCAGGAGCTGATGCAGCATTGTTCTGTTTACAGTTCATTGGTTGCCCTGACAACTTTCTGAATCACAACCGTGGGCAGGAGAATTCTGTTCTTCTTCTTAGTTCTATATGACATTTTCACTTTGTTATGTATTTAGTCTGTACAGCCACCTAGTGATGAATTAGGTAATGCTTGAGTTTCTGCTCACAGCTGAAGTGAACTATTCTGTACTCTCCAAAGGGTATGTGCTTTTGCCTGTATTACACTAAAGTATGAATTCAATATCAGACTGAGAGCTAACTGAACTGCCCTCTTATATTTTTGCCTTGCCTCTGGAAAATAAACGAGCTAGTACAATCAATAACTTTGACTTAATATAGGCCTAACAGACAGAATAACCAGAACACATTACTATGACCACCAGAAATCAATCTCTATAACTCTCAAAACTGTGAGGGCTTATTTGACAGCAATTTATAATGCCTATGTTTTATGACACATATTTCTAAAAAAAACTGATAATACTATCAGATGAATTTTGATCTATGTATAGTTTTAAGAAATATGAAAACTGCAAAACTCAGGAATTAATTTCATCAAGTTGCTACTCTATTCCAACTGAGTATTACAATTTTAGAAAGAAGCAACTGTAAATAAAAATGATTTCTGTTCTGATTCAAGATCAAATTCTAACAGCAAATAAATAATTGTGAGGAACTAAATGTTCATATTGCAAGGTTGTAGAAGATTTTGCTTATGATATTAGTGCAATGTGTTTCTGTCCTTATTTTAAATTAATGTCTTGTTTGGTGTCCTTCCAGAATCTCCTGGAAGTCGAGAGCCAACCTGCTTTGACTTTCATAAACTCTCAGAGATGCAGGACGCACAGCGAAAATCTGAAGTTACCCGACTCTGTGCATTCTATCATAGATTCTGCCCACCTTTATTGGGACCGACAGCTTGCAGTCGATGCATTGAGGAAAAATGCAGAGGGAAAATGAAAAAATGTCGTAAGCTTGTGTTTCTGCATTTTGATTTATAAAAAAAGGGCAAAATGACACATAGGTGTATTTTTGATATTTTCCATGAGTGGGAGGATGGTTGTGGAGATCAAAGGTTACAGAGGACATTGGTACTTGGAACATTTTCAGATGTGGGGAGACCAAAGAAGTTGGATTGTTCTCCCTGAAGCTGGGATAGCTGAGCAAAAGTTTGATAATGTACTCAATATCATTTTTTTGAGGCAATATACAAGGAGAAATTGTTTCTTGTACCAGAAGGACAAATTTTTTTATTCATTTGTGGGACGTGGGTGCCACTGGCTGGCCAGCATTTCTTGCCCATCCCTATCTGTCCTTCAGAAGGTGGTGGTGATCTGCCTTCTTGAACCGCTGCAGTCCACATGTTGTGGGTTGACCCACAATGCCATTAGGGAGGGAATTCCAGGATTTTGACCCGGTGACAGTGAAGGAACAGCGAAATATTCCAAATCAGGATGGTGAGTGGCTTGGAGGGGAACTTAAAGATGGTGGTGTTCCCATATGTCTGCTGCCCTTGTTATTCTGGATGGAAGTGGTCGTGGGTTTGGAAGGTACTGTCTGATGATCTTTGGTGAATTTCTGCAGTGCATCTTGTAGATAGTACACACTGCTGCTACTGAGCGTCAGTGGTGGAGGGAGTGGATGCTTGTGGATGTAGTGCCAATCAAGTGGGCTGCTTTGTCCTGGATGGTGTCAAGCCTCTTGAGTGTTATTGGGGCTGCACTCATCCAGGCAAGTGGGGAGTATTCCATCAAACTCCTGACTTGTGCCTTCTAGATGGTGGATAGTCTTTGAGGAGTCAGGAGGTGAGTTAGTCGCCTCAGTATTCCTAGCCTCTGACCTGCTCTTGTAGCCACTATGTTTATGCGGTGAGTCCAGTTGAGTTTCTGGTCGATGATAACCCCCAGGATGTTGATAGTGAGGGATTCAGTGATGGTCAGACCATTGAATGTCAAGGCATGGTGGTTAGATTGTCTCTTATTGGTGATGGTCATAGCCTGGCATTTGTGTGGCGCGAATGTCACTTGCCATTTTTCAACCCTGGATATTGTCCAGATTTTGTTGCATTTGAACATGGACTACTTCAGCGTCTGAGGAATCTTGAACGGTGCTGAACATTGTGCAATCATCGGCAAACATCCTCACTTCTGACCTTATGATGGAGAGAAGGTAATTGATGGAGCAGCTGAAGATGGTTGGGCCAAGGACACTACTCTGAGGAACTCCTGCAGAGATGTCCTGGAGCTGAGATGATTGGTCTCCAACAACCACAACCATCTTCCTATGTGTCAGGTATGACTCTAACCACCGGAGCGTTTGCCCACTGATACCCATTGATTCCAGTTTTGCCAGGGATCCTTGATGCCACACTCAGTCAAATGCAGCCTTGAGGACAAGGGCTGTCACTCTCACCTCATCTCTAGAATTCAGCTTTTTTGTCTATGTTTGAACCAAGGCTGTAATGATATCAGGAGCTGAGTGGCCCTGGCAGAACCCAGACTGGGCGTCACTGAGCAGGTTATTGCTGAGCAGGTGCCGCTTGAAAGCACTGCTGTGATAACCAGTAGAGAGTAATTGTAGGTGATTGGCTAAGAACAAAAGAGGATGTAAGTATTTATTTTTTAACATAGCAACTTTCTTTGATCTGAAATGGACTGCCTGAAAGGGCAATGATATCATAACATAAGTATTCAAAAGTAAATTGAATGAATACTTGAAGGAAAAGATCCTTTTTTTTCAGCTATCAAGAAGGAATAATGGTAAGGGAATAATTAGATAGCTATGTCAAACAGCTGGTACAAGAATGATGAGCCAAATGTCTCCCTTCTGTGCTTTCTCACCTTGTGATTCTGTGATCTATTCACAGTCAATTTTCATCTTCATAATTTGGGCCATGAGCTGGTGAAATGGAGCAAACACCCAGAATAGAGTCTGTCTGATTTTCATCCCATCAAATTAATTATTCCAGATTCTGCACCAGCTGAGGTCAACATGAAAGACTGTGCTTCTCAACCTTGCCTGAGGCAAGGTGACCCTCAGGTAAAACCATCACCAGTCACATCTCTCTAAAGAGAGAGAAGCCCTATAGCCTAGTAAGAATATGGGAACTTTACCTTTGTAATGGATGAATAAGTTCCACTAGATTACTCCCCAGGTAGTTAGAATAAAACTCCTTTATATGTCTACTATTGATAATCTACTCTCAATATGAAAGTCAAGCCATCCTGGACAACTTTGCAAGTTTTATTATGAGGGTAACAAAGCACAGTGTACAAAAAGTGTATGTAGTTAATCAAGTTTGCTCCTTCATGCAAGTCTTTTTTTAACCCAATCCATGTATGGCATATTCAGCTTGAACTCTGCCCCATTGAGGAGTCAGCCACCTGGATTTATAATGCAATAATCTCGACACGAGGGAGAAAATTTTAATCGCATAAATATGTGTGTTGGGATGAGATAAGATTTGAGTAAGATAAGAGCCCATGGTGTTAGAGGCAAGGTATTAGTATGGATAGAAGGTTGGCTCTCTGGCAGAAAGCAAAGTGTGGGGATAAAAGGGTCTTTCTCAGGATGGCAACCGGTGACAAGTGGTGTTCCACGAGGGTCAGCGTTGGGACCACAACTTTTCACTTTATACATTAATGATCTAGATGAAGGAACTGAGGGCATTGTGGTTAAGTTTGCAGAAGATACAAAGAAAGGTAGATGGATAGGTAGTATTGAGAAAGTGGGGAAGCTGCAGAAGAATTTGGACAGGTTAGGAGAGTGGCAGATGGAGTAAAACATGGGCAAGTGTGAGGTCATGCACTTTGGTAAGAAGAATAGAGACATAGATTATTTTCTAAATGGAGAGAAAATTCAGAAATCTGAAGTGCAAAGACTTGGGAGTTCTAGTCCAGGATTTTCTCAAGATAAACTTGCAGGTTGAGACAGTAGTTAGGAAGACAAATGCAATGTTGGCCTTTATTTTGAGACAACTTGAATATAAAAGCAGGGATGTACTTCTGAGGCTCTATAAGGCTCTGGTCAGGCCACATTTATAGTATTGTGCACAGTTTTGGGCCCCATGTCTCAGGAAGGATGTACTGGCCCTGGAGCAGGTTCAGAGGAGGTTCATGAGAATGGTCCCAGGAATGAAAAGCTTAACATATGAGGAACGTTTGAGGACTCTGGGTCTATACTCAATGGAGTCTAGAAGGATGTGGGGACATCTAATTGAAACTTACAGAGTACTGAATGGCCTGGACAGAGTGGATGTTGGGAAGATGTTTCAATTGGTAGGAGAGACTAGGACCCGAGGGCACAGCCTTAGATTAAAGAGAGATAAGGAGAAACTTCTTCAGCCAGAGAGTAGTGAATCTATAGACTCACTGCCTCAGAAGACTATGGAAACCAGATCATTGAGTATACTTAAGACAGAGATAGATAGGCTCTTGATTGTTAAGGGAATCAAGGGTTACGGGGAGAAAGTGGGAGAACGGGGTTGAGAAACTTATCAGCCATGATTGAATGGTGGAGCAGACTAAATGGGCTGAAAGGCCTAATTTCTGCTCCTATATCTTACGGTCTTATGGAGCTCAGATGTTAACATTTTAAAAGTCTCAAATCAAACACCAAATACTGTGGCTACAATAGAAGATCAGAGGCTAGGAATCCTGCAGCAAGCACCTCACCTCTTGACTTCCAAAAGCCTGTCAACTATCTACAAACCACAAGTTAGGAGTATCATGGAATATTTCCCACTGGCCTGGATGAGGACAGTTTCACCAACAGTGAAGAAGCTTGACATCATCCAGGACAAAGCAGCCCACTTAATTGGCACCATATCCACAAACATCCACTCCCTTCAGCAACTTCACACAGTAGCAGCAGTATGTACCATCTACAAAATGCTCTGCAGAAGTTTAGCAAAGCTACTTGGACAGCACCATCCAAATCTAGAAAGACCATTACCATCTAGAAAGAAAGGACAAGAGGTACGTGGCAACACCACCACCTGCAAGTTACCCTCCCAGCCACTCTACTTCTTGGAAATATATCACCATTCTTTAAAATCCTAGAATTCTCTTTCCCAATAGCAAATGGGTGGTCCCATCATCAAATGAACTGCAATGGTTCAAGGAGGTGTTTCACCACCACTTTTTTGAGGGATATTAGGGGTGCAATAGATGCTGGCCCAGCCAGTGATGCCCATGATCTTGAATGAGTAACCAAAACCACCAATTTAACTTACCCACTTCTGGGTTTATCAGAGCTTGGTCAAGTGTCAGACAACCAACCTTGCTCCCAGGTTGGTTATTTAAATACTTTAATGACCCTGGTAGCCTCTGACTGAAAACTGATTTGCTAGTTTAACTCTGGCTGAAAGGAGAGACATTTTTTTGAGGCTTTTGATTTAGCACTCGTCAGGTTAAACTCAAGAATGCCAAACTTCAAACAATTACTACAATTTATACTAGAGAACAAGGGTGCTGATTGGTTGGCAAAGTGACACAGATTGACCAAAATGTTATCATGGAGGAAGCAAGTGCTGTTCGACTGGGGAATCACCTCCAGCAGTAGACATTTTGTTTTGGGTCTTGCAAGTACAAATTGATTGTTTACTTTATTTGATCACCAGTCATTGGGATTTAGAGTCAATGTATTTAGTATTGCACTGACACTGAAATTTATGCACGACTTTGCTCAATTTTGTGGTAGGCATAACATTTTTTGGACTGATGGTTGCAGCCACTGTACATGTTGCCACTGCATAGTAACAGTGCAAAGCATGTTCATTCAACTGTTCACAAAAGGCAGAGTGCAGGCTGTACTCGAGCTCTTGTAATATAATGTACTGTGGTTGTTTGAAATTTGGCATTCTTTTGTATGTCCTGCTGAGCATATGATCAAAAGCTTTAGCAACATATCTCTCTTGTCCACAATATACAAGTGCTACACTACCAAGTGACATTCAAACTCACAATTGGGTATACAATAAAAATTACTAAGTGTACCACAGGAAGTCAGATTTCAAATAAGAGGAAGTAATGTCTTGAAAGCGACAGAGAATGCAAAATAAATTAACTCAGTGTTTTATGACCAACCTTGTCTCATCATGCATTTCAGCCCATTTCTAAAAAGAATTCAGTATACATATAATGTAACATGCAAAGGATGCAGAAGCCAGTTCAGATCACAAGTGCAGTTCAATTGTTACATGCCTGGATTTTATGTACTTGTGTGATTTGTAATTGAATATTCAGACCCCTGATGGAACTGAACCGGATCACGGTTCTTACGAATAGACCTGAACATTACGTGATGTCTCTTCGATTTGATGGTCATTGGGAACATAAGTTGTCACTTCTGAACAGACCCAAGCCTCACAGTCACTTAATTCAACATGTGCTTGCTGACCTTATGAAATAGGGTAACATCCCACTGAATTCAAATATTATGGTGGGTGTTGCTCATAGAATGGGGGCAATATTCCCCAATCTGTTACAGTTCCAGACGGGATACCCCAAGTGTTTAAGTTCCCAGGTGAACTGACTCCCCTTGTTTATTCACCTGCCCCTCGGTTAATTGCAACAAGTTTAAGTTAAAAAGGATCCCTTCCTATGTGGATACCTTTTCCCAAAGCCCAAATGATTTTATGTTTTAAAAGCTGCCAATTTAACCAATCTTTCTTGAGTTAACAAAGAGTGAGTTTAATAATTACTAAACACAGAACGATTAGTAATGCATACAAACAGATTAGAAATAAGACGTGAGTGCAAAAAGATAAAGATATAAAAAGCAGATGTATGGATCAATCTTTGTAGTGTTTGTGAAATCAGGTAGTTTAACATTGTGGCCATTGTAGTGGAGCTTCACATCTATAGTTCTGATAATCTATGTATCTATCTCTTCAGACAGCTACTTAGTTCCCAAATCCACTCATATTTTGGAATTAAAAATTAAGAATGTCCATAGTAATTTGGAGTTTTGGCTCATGGTCATGACATTTATCATTGGCACAATTTACCAAGGGGTGCAATCCTTTATGTATGCCAAAACTACATTTCATTGTATTTTTAGCACAAAGAATTAGATCATGAGAAGGCTTTCATTGAATTGACTTTAATGCCAGCAAGCATAACTGGGACATCGTAACATACAGGCATTGTAACACTGGAATTTGAATAGCCATCTCTGCATATTTCTGGTAATGATGTTGACTTTTGGCAATAATGGCGACAATACCTTTTCATCTGTTGCATTTTCTGTAAATTTCCATTTAAAATGTCTTATAATGTACTTTCACAACTTTTGTGAATAAGGTATATTTTTTGACAAAAACATAGTCCTGAAAAGATCTAGGTGGCTATTTTAAATCACTATTAACTTTAGTCTTGTAATATTCTATTCATTCAACATCGTTATTTATTACAGAACTTGGGACATTTTTGCAGAAATTGCTGGACCTGCTTCACCCAGTGGAAGAATTTATCCGCATTCGAGACAGTTTCTCCTTCTTTACAGAGACAATCCCGAAATTCATGGAGAACATTTACACAAACATTTTTCCATCCCAAGGGCAGCACTTAGCAAAGCATGAGAAAGGTACACAATGAAGTGATGGGATTGTGTGGGTTATCTAAGTTAATCTTAGTTTTAATTCAGATTTTGCACATTAATTACACAAACAAAAATGCTATTCTGATACTTTTATTATATGTTCACTTGATGTGGGTATGCTGTCCAGGCCAGCAATTATTATCTGTTCCTAACTACCCTCGAGAATGTGGTGGTAGGCCAATGTTTTGAACTAGTGCAGTGAATGTGGTGTAGATAACAGACACTGCTATTAGGGAGGGTATTCCAGGAATTTTCCCTAGCGATGAAGAATTAATTGGCTGACATATTTCTTGTGTTGTAACAGAGAATACACTTCATAAGTATTTAATTGGCTGTGAAGAACTTTGGGATGTTAAGGTTTACAAAATGCACAATAAAATGTAAGTCTGTCTTTCATTAAGGGTATTGCATAGCATGGCAAATAGTGAGCTTGTACAGGCAAAAAATGCATTGACAGCACAAGAGGGAGGATGCCAGACTACTGTGACAGCTGGAGGGAAGTTCCCTTTCATGGTTAGTGGGTCTGAATGTGTCAATGGGAGCTGATGGTATAATATGATCTTGTATATGGGCTGCAAGAAGTTAGCATGCAGATTCAGTAAGTAAGTAGGAAGGTAAATGGAAAGTTGATCTTTCTTATAAAGAAGATGGAGCATAAAAATAGGAAAGTCAACTTATGTCTGTGCATAGCATTTGAGACAGACCTAGAATGTTGTATACAGTTTTGGTCTCCTTACCCGAGGAGAGATGTACTTGTAATAGAAGCAGTTTAGACGAAGGATAATTCGTGGAATAAAGAAGTTTTCTTATGAGAAAAGGTTGAGCAGATTGGGTTTATAATCATTGGAGTTCAGAAAACTGATAGATGATCTTAATGAAAACTATAAGTTTCTAAGAGGGCTTGATGTGGTAGATTCCAAGAGGAATTTTCCCCTCCTCGGGAATCTAGAACTAGGGCCACAATTTAAAAACAAGGGTTTACCATTTAAGAGTGAGATGAGGAGATTTTTTTTCTCAAAGAGTTGTTAATCTTTAGAATTCTCTTTCCCAGAGAACAGTGGATACTGAATCAACGAATATATTTGAGGCTGAAATGGACAGATGTTTGATCATCAGTTTAACGAACATAAGCGGGGAAGTGGAGTTAAAGCCACAGTCAGATCAGCTGTAATCTTATTGAATGATATAGCAGTATGTATAGGCTGAATGGCCTATTTCTGCTTCAATTTCTTATGATTTTATTGGTGAACAGGAGTGTGGGAGGCCAGAAATGCTATGTTGGGCCTATGGCAAGAAACACTGCTCCCCTGGATTACAAAAGGAAGTGCTGAAAGATGCACATTACTTGGTGGAACTGGTAGTTCCCACCTCCCTTTTTTTGTTGGGTTTTGCTAGACACAATGTGCAGTAATGTTAAGGTTAAAACTGCACTCCCAAATGCATTGCGAGAATCTGATTTAAACATGTTAATAAAGCATTCTTCCTTTCCACAGCAGGAGATTCAGATACACCAATATCCAAAACTTTAAAATAACACAGGTGGCAGGCACATGAAGGCCATTTTAACCAGTAGAAATGATGGGAATATGTCACAAGATGTATTTCCCACTTCATCATGCTAGATTCAAAGGCTTTGTGGGAGCCAGTATTGGATAGTAAAGCCATGGATCAAAATGTTAAAAACTCCAAAATAAGTTGAATCGATCATTAGCCAACCATTTTATCTTCCCTGTCCCATCATTTGGAACAATTTGAAAATTAATTTTGTCCTCCAGCTGCCCAGAGTTGGATGGTTAATAAATAAATTAGTCCAAAACATCCCGGATGATCTGAAAGGACCTTTGCTATAATTAGACTCTGTAGGCATTCCATTGGCACTTCTGCTGAACAGAAGAATTAGGTTCTTATTTGTAGTATGTAACTGTTAGTAGGCCACCATAAGAGATTCAATGTATTTTCAAATTGCAGTTACTGAGTTACAAAGTTTATTAAGTGAAATTATGCTTCAAGTCTGATTTATTAATTAGCATGTGCATTTTAAATGATTAAAAGAATGGATGCAAAGAAAAGATCTGTTAGAAGAAAGACATGGATGGTCGCTGGAAACTAATTTAGAGTCAAATATTCAGCAGAATATCAGCAACAGGTGAGCACATTTTTCAACTTTTCAAATTTATTTTTCTTCCCAAACCACCTCAAATGGCCCAAGGGGATATCTTCTTGCGTGAATTGAGACAGTGTATTCAGTTAAGTTATTTAATGATGTGTGGCATCACAACAAAGCCTGATTTTGTTGGATTTTATGAATTGCTGACACCATGCTTGGGAGTGAATGGGTGCATAAGGTGGTATGTGTTGACATGGGTAGGGTATGAAGAGTGTTTGGAGTTTAAAGGAGAGGGTTGGAGGCATGTTTCATGTTTTATTTTTTATTTCAAAACTTAGGACACAGGGCAAGATTCCCAAGGTAGGTCTGGCATGTAGCCAGCCTCCAAACCTCTGGGTCTTTCTCCACAACTTCGATTCCAGCCTGTCTCACCCAGCAGCCCCACCAAAAGTCCAAAGTCCAGGCAGCCATTCTTAAAGGTCAGGCTCATGGAGCCAGGATTGATTCCATCTCTGTGCAGTCAACCTGGATCTGTGACTGCTGGAAATCTGAAATAAGAGTGGAAAATGCTAAAATATTCAACAGGGCTGGCAACATGCGTGGAGAGAAAAACTGTTGATGCTTATGATATTTGTTCCATTCTCTTTGAGCTGAATTTTTCCAGCCTTGTGGAGCTATTTTTTGTAAGGGGGAGAAACGGTAGACACTTCTTTTGGTGATTTATGTGGACAGTGTTGATAGTACTATTGTCCATCAACTATGCTAAATTGTATGTCTGAGAACCATTTATTGGGACAATACTTTAAGATATGATTTTATAGATCTTTCGTGGCCTGGTATTTCTAAAAACCACAGGTTTCTAATTTTATAAATGGAGTGAACAGCACAGAATGCACAAATGGTCATTGACCTGACTGCCTATGAACGTGCAAATGGTGGCATCAATTACTGACAACAAATGTCTCAAAGCTAGAATAGAGGTGAATATTCGGGGCTATGTCTCTCTGTTCCATATGTAATGATGTCACAACAGTTATGCAAATAGCCGTACTGAGGCCAAAGTCTCCAGAATAATGGCAGAGGTCCATAGCAGGGACAAAGGCTGCCTGTGTTGGGTGAGAGAGAGAGAGAGAGAGAGAGAGCAGCTTCAGGCTGAATTTGGACATGGAGTGTGCACCGAAGACTCACTTCTCTGACCATACAAGAACTGGCTCAATATATTACCCTTTCAGTTGGAAGGCAGCTGTGCCCATCACTTGGCAATGATGTAGCACTGTGAGGTGGCGTTTCTTTGCAATCTGATGAGTGATAACCTTCTATAAAAAGTTTTAATTTATATGTAGAACAATATGAATTATCAAAGATTGCTCTCCCAATATATAGCTGCCTGCATGAAATTCATTTAGACTGAATATGTTATTTTCCTGTGCAAAAAATGCTCTGTACACTATAATATGTGCAAGTTTTACTTAAGTTATATGTAAGTAATTTCCTTAGGTTGCCTAGTGGCATAAAGTAGAAGATAGTTCACTGTTTTTATTTGGTAACTATTGACTAACAAAAACACATATACTTTATTTACCTGAATTCCTCTCTTTTCAAGAACTGTAGAAATGGGAACAAAAGAAGTTCAAAACTTGTTTAAAGGTATTGGACCTGATTTGGACAATTGGATGAATTATTTTACTGAGAACGTAAATTTCCCTGACGTGGACAAAGAACAGGATAATACAGGCAGAAAAGAAAGGCAACTCTTTTTCCAGGTATAGTAGCCAGGAATTTCACAGTTCCAATGCTCTAGTAGAATTAAACACGTGAATAATTCTGCAAGTGTTGAGTACAGAATGTATCTGGCAACATAGTAATTTTGTATAGATACTAATAGTTTATAGCATACAAGACCAATATGTCTGCCATGGCACTTCCAGTGTTAGGTTTTCTCATCCCATTTCCTTTTCCCTGTATCATGTTGTATTCTTTGTTATCCCTTTAAATTGGTAAATGTAGTGGTTATTCATCACAAACTGTATGTGAGGGATGTTTGCCAATATTTTATTTTAGAATTCCAAAATACAGATGGAATCACTGAAAGAAGATGTTCAAAGTCTGTTGAGGAGTTTGAGCTCCCAGCCTGAGATAGATGAGCTACTATCTGCCATGCAGAAAATTCCACACGAAGCAGAGAGATTGTCTCCAACACCTTTGAAGGAGAATGGTATATTTTAGAAACTTTCAGTCGTCCTTTTTAAAGAAGTTAATTTTTATTTTTACATTTACATTCTTTCCCTTTTGCAACATTGTCTCATCCACACAAAGATAAGGCAGTTTGCGAATTTATCAGTTTGTCTTATTGTTAGGCAGAAGAAATCACAGTATAAATATGGGGAATGAGAAATCAGAAATTAAAACCGAACATGTCTGGAAATAGTTAGTAGGTCTGATAGCATCTGGAGAGACAGAGAAACAGTTAACATTTTGAGTCATCACCATAGTGGGATTGCCACCACCTACAAGTTTCCCACCAAACTATACAGCATCCTGACTTGGAGCTATATCATTGGTCCTTCACTATTAGTGTGTCAAAATCCCTTCCTAACAAGCACTGTGGAAATAGCAGCTCAACAAGACTGCTGACCTCCACTTTCTTCAGAGCAATTAGGGTGGGCAAAAAAGTGCTGTCCTAGCCAGCAACACCAAAATCCCATGAATGAATAAAAAGAGGTCAAATGTGACTCTCCTTCAGAGTGAGGTATCAGGACTGTCCACTTAGATTTGACAATTTGTTTTAATATAACATGTATGAGGTTTGCACTCATATTAATGAACTTCAAAAGACTTTATTTAACAAAGTTATTTACAAGATATGGTAACAGGCGATACGCTTATGATGCCCTACAGACTTAAGTTCCAGTTCCATGTGATTTGGCATTACTATGACATAGTCCTTTTCGCATATACTCAGTGGTTATCCTTAAAGCAAAGGTATAAGTAACCCTTTAGTCTACCTGTTACCTAGTTGAAGAGAGTGAGAAATTTTAACCAGAACAATGAAGAGACTGTCATTGTCTCACCTGTTGCGCAGACTTGATGAAGTCAGTCGTCCCTCTCCTCCAGTTGGAGGACAGTATGGGTTGTTTGGCCTCCTCTCCCAGCCAGAGTGGTCTCCATCTACTTGTCTTTCCAACAAAAGAAAGGCCATTGTCACCTCGCTGTTGTTTAAACTGCAGAAGTGAAACGATATGAAAACAAAGGGAGTAGTAAGTTTAATAAAGTTAAATTCAATTTATTTGCTGACTTGAAACAAAAGCCATGGTTTCATTATTTCCTAAAACACCTTGGAAATGCTTGTAAAAGAAATGTAACTGAAATCAACTATTTTTAATAGGACTAAATTCATCTAAAAATAACTTAAGAGTGAAGAAACAAGGTGATTCAAGTGTTGTACCAGACTCTGGGATGTTTTTGAAAACCAATGGTGAGTTGTCAATTTGTATACCATCAAAAATGTCAGCAAATTTTGAAAGGGATCGTCACTAAGAGGAAAAGGTACTTTCAATGAAACTCAAATCTGAAGGTAGTCTTTGTTTGGATCTGAGTTCTGAGATTGGCATCCACGTTAGAAGTTAATTGGAGGATAACATTAAATGTGAACCTGCGTATGGCTTTTCTATTTAACTGAGAGAGAAGCATGACAAATTAGCCCCTAAAATGCAGGAATATTTTTTAATTTATTTGTGCTTTAAAATGCTTCCTAATCCAATAAATTACACCCAGAGAACATTGTGCCACACAGGTGTCAGGCAATGACTATCACAAACAGCCTATCAATCTTCCCTTCATATTCCATGGCATTCATTGGAAGGTAAATGGAAATGTCATTACCTCCATGTTTACTTCAAGTCACACACCACTGGGATTTCACCATCCTTTTATTACTATTGGATTAAAATCCTGAAAATTCTTACTAAAACGTATTGTACTGTTACCAACACAAGCCACACTGCCTTGCCAGTGACGTTTACATCCTCAGAATTCTTAAAATTAAAGTTATTTTCCATTTAACACCTCTAACCATGGTTCATGCTAAATACGTAGTTCTGCATATAAGCAAAGGTCAATGCTGTGAATAAAAAGATATATATTGGAAGTAAGTGGCAAGACCAGATGGCTGAACTGGGTGCGTCAGTTGAGTCAATGACAGTAGGTGCCAGGCCTCATAGGATTGATTAGTGGGCCGGTGGTAGTTGGGGGTTGGTGTCAGGTCAGGTTCGGGGTGGTGGGTATCGGGCCCAGGAGTCGAATCAGTGGGCTGGTGGGTCAGGTTGGGATTGAAGATGGTGAGGGGTGGGGCTAGAGTGGGTCAGGTTGGATGAATGTGTTAGGGATTGGATTAAGCATGTCAGGTTGGGAGGGTTGGTAGGAATTAGGTTCAGTGAGGTTGGATCAGCGGAAATGGATTGGGCAGGGGTGGAGTTGTGGTGGAGGTGGGGGTGTGGTGGGTGTGTGGTGATGTGGTGGTTGGGCCCACCAGGGTCAGGTTGGGGAAAGGTTGACTCCAAAAGGATCGAGTCAGGTACAGTCATGGTTGGGCATAGGGAAGGGTAATAGATAGGGGGCTATTAATGGAGTATCAGGGATCTCTTGAGCTATTACTCAGAAGTTAGAGCAAGTTTTTAATCCTCTACCTTTTCCTGGGTAATTGTTAAGCTTAATTGAGTCAGAACCCTTTGGAATCTTCAACATTAACAGCCTATTTCAGAAGATTCCAGGTGTAAGGGAATTAATCATTGAAAATTCAGTTTCCTTCAGAGTAAGCTGCAAAGGGAATTCTGCTTGGTCCCAACATGCAACTCCAGTCCAAGCTGCTCCGGCAGTTATCTGCCCATTAGAATATCTAGGCCATTCAGTCATTTTAATAGTGAAAAATGAACCAGCTTAAACAAAATATTTCTTTCCATACCCGGGCATTAGCTAAGATGAATAGGTTATTTACATTTAAGGAGAAAGTAGGCAGACAAATGAGATGTAAAAGAAAAGTAGGTTTAACTGAAAAATTTAGATGAAAAAGGTTGGGTGGAGGCTTGTGTGAAGCATAAACACCACACATACCAATTGAAACAAATAATTGATCCAGTTTTGAACATTCTGTGCAATTTGGTAACCATCAAAAACTATTGATATTTATTAATAATTTTTGTGATTAGTAACAGCGGTTAGTTGACAAAGCAGGCAAATGTGCCATTTGTGCAAGAATGGGTATAACTATAAGATCAGAAGATATAGGAGCAGGAGTGGACCATTCAGCCCACTGGGTCTGCTCCATCATTCAATGAGATCATAGTTGCTCTGATAATCCTCAAATCCACTCTCCTGCCTTTTCCCCATGACTCCTGGTTCCTTTACTGATTAAAAATCTGACTATCTCAGCCTTGAATATACTTGATGACCTAGCCTCAACAGCCCTCTGTGGTAAAGAATTCTACAGATTCACAAACTTGTGAAAGAAGAAACTCCCCACCATCTCTGTCTTAAATGTCCAACACTTTATTCTGAGATTATGCCCTCTGATGCTCGACTCTCCCACAAAGGAAAACAAACTTTCCACATTTACCCTGTCAGGTCTTCTAAGAGTCTAAGATGTTTCAATAAGATCTTCTCTCATTCTTTTACATTCTAACAAGCCTGGCCCAATCTACTCAACCTGTGCTCATTAGACAGTCCCTCCATATCTGGTATTAGCATAGTGAGCTTTCTCTGGACTGCCTCCAATGCCAGTATATCTTTCCTTAGATAAGGGTCCCTAAACTGTTCATAGTTTTACAGCTATGTTCCAACCAGTGCCCTGTATTAAGGCTGGTTTGTGATGCAAAATGACACCAACAGCATGGGATCAGTTCCCATACTGACTGAGTTCACCATGACAGTTCTACCTACTTAACCTCGTCCCTTGCCTGAGGTGGGGTGACTCTCAGGTTAAACTTACCAGTATTCATCTTTGTCTTAAGATACTACACATTAGGCTATTTAATAAGAGCTCATGGTGTTGGAGGTAGTATATTAGCATGGATAGAGGATTGGCTAACTAGTAGAAGACAGAGAGTTGGGATGAGAGGGGTATTTTCAGGATGGCAGCCTGTAACTAGTGGCGTGCCTGATGGCTGTCTGGGACTTTGGTGACTTTACCTTTACTTGTGTAGTTTTAGCAAAACCTCTCTACCTTTATACTCCATTCCATTTTTAATAAATGCCGACATTCCATTTGCCTTCCCTACTATCTGCTGAATTTGGATGCAAGCTTGTTGTGATTCATGGACAAGGACCCTCAAATCAGTCTGTTCTGTTGCTTTCTGCCTTCTCTCTCCATGTAAATAATATTCAGCTTCTCTATTTATTCTTCCTGCTACTGGGCATAACCTGGCATTTTCCCACATTATATTCTATCTGCCAAGTTTCTGCTCACTCACTTAACCTATGTATAATTCTTCGCAGACTTTTTATGTCATCATCACCACTGGCCTTCCCATCTAGTTTTGTCATTTGCAAACTTGGCTATGGTACTTTCACTTTCCTATGTTTTTTGTAAATAATTGTAACTTCAACACTGATCCCTGTGGCACACCACTAGTTACAGGCTGCTAACCTGAAAATACTCCTCTCATCCCAAGTCTCTGTCTTCTATTAGTTAGCAATCCTCTATCCATGCTAATATACTACCTCCAACACCATGATTTGTTATTAAGTAGCCTAATGTGTGGTATCTTATGAAATGCATGAAAATCTAAATGTATTATGTGCATTGTTTCCCCCTTATCCATTTCCTTATTACCTCCTCAAAGAATTCCAGTAAATTTGTTAGGCATATAACCTTTCTCATGAAACCACGCTGATTCTGCTTGATCATATTATGCATTTTTAAATGCTCAGCTATTACATCCTTTATAATACTCTAACATTTTCCCAACAAACGTTAAGATAACTGGCCTACAGTTACCATTTTTTTTGTCCCCTTCCCTTTCTAAATAAAGATGTTACATTAGCAGGTTACCAGTTCTCTGGGTCTTTTCCAGAATGTCAGGATTTCTAGGAGATTATTGTATACTAGGATGCATTCTATCAAGTCCAAGGGACTTATTGTTCTTTAGCCCCATTGGTTTCCCTAACACTTTTTCACTAGTGATAGTTTTATTGTATCTCTCCCATTTGACTCTGTAACTAAAAGAATAATCATGTTAGTCTTCTCGCTGTTTAGGTTGTCAGAGCATCAATGAATCACTGCTCAATGTCAGTTTATTAATGGATGAATATAAATGGATCCTGTCTATACCAATAGAGAAATTGTCAATGAGGTTTCAAGAGGTATGTATCAATGCCTTATTTTAATTCATAAAAGTCTTCACTAAGAAGATTCATATGTATAATTCAAACTTTAAATAGACCCATGTGAGTTTTTCGTGTTCATGGGAGATGGGAAAGAACTCCCTGAATATGGAGGGATATAAATTACTGCTCAATTTCTGCCAAATGTGCAGCTCTCCATGTCTTCCCAGGGCTTCCGATCTGAGCACCCATCTAAATCAAATGATAGGTTTGCAAAGGGTAAATTTGATCCCTGTGACATATATGAGTCCTTGATTAGCATTCTAACGTGGTACTGTTGATTAGATGTTGGCCACTTTCTCCACTGAGCCAGATGTTCTGGGTTTGATTCCAACACCAAAGACAAGGACAGGATTGCAGTACTGAGGGACTGCTGCATTGTTGAAGGTAGCATCTTCCACAAGGGATGTAAAAACAAGGTCCCCTCCAGCAAATGTAATAGATTCTGTGATATTATTAAAAAGAACAGCAAAGGTGTTACTTCCAATATCCTGAGAAACTAACATCGGTTTACCAAATATTATTGTCATCATCACATTGTTGATTCTGGCATCTTCCTGTATTTAGGTTGGCAGCTATGTTCTTAAATTACATCAGTAAATCCACTTGAAAAGCATTTAATTGTAAAGTATATTTGGACATTTTGTGATTTTCTATATAAAAATATTGTTTTCTCATTTACTGTGTCTAATGTGCCTTACACACTCAATCCAGTAGCAGCTGGCGGTCCAGTTGAAGAGGAATCCAGGGCGCAAGTTTTCATTTACATTTATAGGGCCAAGAGGAGCATAAATGGACAGCCTGGGATGTTACTGCATGTGAACCTCCTCCAAAAAATTGGCCACATTATTAAACCGTAGCTCTCACTCAAGAAGGTTGACACTATCTATGAAAACCATCCTGCTTGATTTGCACCCATTCCTCATTTTGAACATTCACCTACTCCACTGTGATGCCCAAAGGCAGCAGTGTGTGCCATCCATAAGGTGCACTATAGCAATTCACCTGGCTACCTTTGACAGCACCTCCCAATCTATGACTTCTACCACCTAGAACATTGTGGTCAGAAAACCATAACTTACAATTTCCTCTCCAAATCTCAAACCTTCCTCACTAGAAATTACATCACTTCCCCTCAACTGTCACTGGTTTGCAATCCTGGAACCCTTCCTAATAGTTTTGTCTGTATATCAATACCACGTAGACTACAGCAGTTAACGAAGGCAGCTCATCATCACCTTGTTAAGGAGTATCAGGGATAGGCAATAAATATTAGCCTTCCTAGCTACACTCATGTCTCATGAATAAATTCAAAGCAAAACATAATGAACATCTCCCCTTCTATTTTAGAGTGCTGTCTAATGCATGCAAAACACATATTTAAATACTGACACATGGTGAGGTATTGTATCATGGCACTGTGAGTGAATTATGATTACCCTCATTATACATTCTGTTAATTTATGTATTCACCATTTCATCTTTGATTATTTTCATCATTTATAACAAGCTCAAACAATCAAAGACATGTTCTCTTCCACCTGTTCCTTTTCACAGGCTTACCTCCCTCCCAGATGCCCTCGCTTATTCTTCTATCATCGTGATTTCTTCTTGCTCATCGTCTGGCATCTTTCCATGCAATTGTAGCTTTTTTACTGAGAGACAAATGTATATATGTATTCTGTTGTGTTATTGTTTCCCTTTTATAGTAACAGCTTTGTCTGTTGTTTCTATAATCCTGGTCTGGCATTGATTCTAGTAAACAATAGTTATGATTCTCTGCAGTATATTTTATATAAATTAAAAAGCAGTTGATAAATGTATTTTTAGCTCAATAGCACTTTATTGGGTGTATTTATGTTCTTGTCCAGGTTCTGGTTGACATGACTTCTAAAAATGAGAAAGGGCTATTTAAAGCACGTGTAAAAGCTACGGTTGGAGGTCGGCTTGCAACTTTTAACAGTTTGGTTGGATTGGAGAATGACTCCTTTTACAGAAGCATGGCACGAGTTATTGGCCAGGCCTTGGATGTTTTACAAACATAATACAGTTCTAAGAATAGGGTATTTGCAACTCTCCTTCTTGTTGGGATTCTGGTGTTAACACATTCATGCATATTTCTAGTAATATGAAAAATTCAACGATGTAGGGAGAATTTATTATATTGCTTTGGTTGTAGCACCTCCACAACTCTTAATAGTTGGAAAATGAGGAAGGAATTAAAATTTTCAAAGCACCTTACAATATATTGAAACATTACAAAGCCTTTCACATAATTACTTTCAAAATACAGTGACCGCTATGTGGTCAAAAATCATGAACTAGTAGGTTTTGTATTAAATTTAATAAATGTTTGGATGACCTTTTAGAAGATTTTAGAGCTTCTGGGTAACACAGACTTAGGTTTGGAACCTGAAGGAGCAAAATTATTTATGTTCTTGACCAAAAATTCAAAAATGAAATGTCTTAAATATCTCATTTTTGGTCCTTATTAAGTTATGGAAAATATCAAATGTTTAATGAAAAGCCACCATAGTCCTGTTTGCTCATTTGAGACAGACAGCGAGTGGTGAGTTTAACCTGAGGGCAATCACACCTCAGGCAAGGGGAGAGGTTTAGAACAAGAGTCCATCATGATAACCTCAGCTGGTTTAGGAATTAAACCTATGCCAATGGCATCATTCTACATTGAAAGTCAGCTGTCCAGCCAATTAAGCTAGTCTACCATCCAACATTAGGTAGCCATCAAAGGTTACTTTGCTGGAACACTGAAATTGTGTAAATTTCTTCAAGCATGCATCATCTATACAATTATTTGTCACTGGAGATATCTTGTGAGAAGAATTAATAGAAAGGAAGAAATTATTATGGTATGAATCACCATTTAAATTTTATTTCTTTGCCACAGTTAGACTTCAGTATTGCTAGTTTCCCTAAAACAATTACAAATCTGGTCAGCTTGATATGAGAAACTTAACTTCATTGTGGGGAGTAAATTTGTGATTAATATATTTTCCCTGCATTCGTATCTAAATGCAAGAGATAGTGGGGAAAATAGTTGGTTAAACTTGGTTACTTAGAAGAAGATGGTCTTTTGTAGTGTGTGTCCAAAATGGTGAATCAAACTCATTCTGTAGAAGAACCCTACGTTTTTGACCAACATGTTGAATTATTGACTGCAAATGGTGAAAAAATATACCTGCTACACTAAATTGTAATGCTTATGTAAATTCTGACATTACTGATTTACCAGATATTTTGTATCATTTACATCATATAAATATAACTTTTTGTATAAACATAACTTTTTGTATATTTACTCAAGTGTTACCTTTAATTGGTTGATAACATTAATCATTAATAAGCCAAAATGCATTTAAAAACTTGAAAGAGTTCAGTAAAGGTTTACAAGGATATTGCTAGGGCTAGAGAGTTTGAGCTATAGGGAGAGGCTGAATAGGCTGGGGTTATTTTCCCTGGAATGTTGGAAACTGAGGGGTGGCCTTATAGAGGTTTATAAAATCATGAGAGGCATGGATAGAGTAAATAGATAAGGTCTTTTCCTCAGGCTGCAGGAACCCGAAACGAGAGGGCATAGGTTTAAGGTGAGAGGTAAGAGGAAAAATTTAAAAGGGTCCTAAGGAGCAACTTCATCCCACAGTGGGTGGTGCATGTGCAGAATGAGCTGCCAGAGGAAGTGGTAGAGGCTGGTACAATTACAATATTTAAAAGGCATCTGGATGGGTATATGAATAGGAAGGGTTTAGAGAGATATGGGCCAAATGTTGGCAAATGGGACTAGATTTATCTAGGATATCTGGTCAGCATGGATGAGTTGGAGTGAAGGGTCTGTTTCTGTGCTGTACATCTCTATGATTCTATGACTCTAAGAACAGTACAGTAACATTAATGTTGGGTTAAATAGTTCACTTGTGTTAATCTTGGGCAGAACTCAGGGAGAATAATCATGTTAATGCAAGTAGAGTTTTGAAAAGCAGAGCTTTTGGAGTGGTGTTTGGAAGTTGACTTCTTTCACTGCTGACCCTTTTACAACTAACACACAACCTCAATTTCTATATGCCAAGACCACTGAAAAAGACCGTTGGTCATGTTGCCCATCCATTTGCAGTTAACCTGAAAATGTCATCAAGCAGACTTCCTCTTCACAACTTAAAACTGGCAACTACCTTCATGCATGTGAATATCAATTGGTTGCTCCATAGATTTCTGATGGTCACAGGTAACGTAACCAACCGTAGCAGACAGTAAGACAGCAAATCAGTAACTCAAAAGGATGTGTGTATTTGAGCTTCCTCGCAGGAAAAATATAAAACTGGTCAACTTCAATCCTCAAAAGAGCTCTGGATTATACTTTGGTTTTCCCAGAAAATTAGTACCATTTTATGGTTTGTTTCTTTTTTTATTTTCTTATAAGGCTGCTAAATTCTTGCCACTTTGAGAAATTTTGAATATATAAATGTAATAGTCAGCAGTCTGAGCAGAGCATTGCAATGTTTCTAAAAGTATTTCTGCCCTTTGTAAAAAGAACTGTGTATATAAATGAATATGTATGTATGTATATAATGGTACTTCTCCTTTCTATGGTTAATGGATTGAAGAGCAACATGAGAGAATCACTGCTGCTATGATGGTATTGCTGTGAAAGCACTTATTTATTATTTGTGCAATGTATTTGATGCAATTTCTTTACATTTGTGCTGAAAAGCCATCATAACTGAAAATAAAGTGGTTAGCAAAGCAAATGTCCTTAGATTTGATAATTTAATCGATGTTATCTTTCACCTAGACCAAACTTTATTGTTCCTCAAAATAATGTTTATATCTAATATTGCCAACTGACTTGCATTTAGTAAGCTTTGTGCCATGGGAAACCATACACAGATGTCTTATAGAGGAGACAATAAGAAAACACATGACTTTGTGGCGTAGTAGGAACCTTTACTGAAAGTTTGATTCAAGATTTGGATTTTGAGAAGGTTTCTAAAGCTGTGAAAGAAGTTAGAGAGCTTTTCATTCAGAACAGGAGTTACAGATTCTCATTATTCTCAACTCGGATTGACACTGGAGTAGTTGGATTTAACCATGAAGAGTGAGGTGCAGTAATGATTGATAGTCAAGCCAAATTTTGTGAAGGACAAGATTGATCTTTCATCAGAATTTACAGAGTATAGGTAGAACACTTACACTGGGAACACCACAATTTGAAGGCTCTGTGTAGTGATTGGAACCAGTTTGACATCATCGACTATGAGATCATTGATTTGGTTGTCAACCTCAGCCAATCAGGAAAACCCTGGCTGACTAACATAACCAGGAGATGAAAATCTCCTCAGCCCAGGCGACTGACTCTGAGCCGGCTGGCCACAGCCAGTGTACTGTGTACAATTAAATAAAGGGTGACTTGATGACGGGATACCGGGATACCGGCCTCTGTGCAGTTATTTCAGAGGCGACGAGAGAAAACAGGACGTGCCTCAAGGACGTTCGCTTGCTTCAATCATCTTGGAGTTGGGGTAAGAATTTCTGGCATCATGCTCTTTTTTTGGGAAGCTTGACTCATTTGATCCTGCTGTCATAGACTGAGCCTAGTATGTGGAAAGATTGTGATTTTCTTTTCCAGGCAAATGACATTGGGGCAGATGAAAAGCAATCGTGACTGCTTGCGGACCCATAGCATTCTCGGTTATAAGGGGCTTAACTTTCCCAGAGCTACCAGACACCAAAACCTTCCAAGTGGTGACAGAGCTGGTTAAGGAATACTACAACCCAAACCTCCTCTAATTCCAAAACGCTATTGGTTTTATTCGGCTGTTAGACAACCGCGGAAATCTGTATCAGGACTTTTGATGAGGTTGAGATGACTGGCAGAGGCATGTGATTTTGGGTTAACACAATGAGATGTTGAGAGACCATTCGGTATGTGGAATTAATGACATAACCATGCACAAGCACCTACAAGCTGAACACCAACTGGACTTCAAACAGCTGGTGTTCTCATTAGAAAATGCAGCAAGTGGAGCATGGGAATTACAGGGCATCCAATGGAAGTGGATTCCCTCACCTGTATGACTGAGCTTGGGGAACACCACTTGAGCGTAGGCAATCGCAGAGCCTCACGCAGGGCATATCCTGAGCAGAGGGACCCTAGGCCAGCCCACAGCAGAACCCCACAACAAAGCCAAACCTCGGCCAAATAGCTAAAAAGTTCTTCAGGTTCTGGGCCAACAAGCTATTGTAGTTGCTGCTAGTATGTGGACTTGAGACAGCAAAGGAATCCTACAAGGCCTGATGTGAGTAAGAAAACTCATAGGCCGGTACCCAGGAGAGTGCATACCCTGGAAAGTCCCCCTACATGTGGGTTGGAACAATTAAATTGCTTAGTGACATTCAAATGGGAACCAGGTAAAATTAATGTTTGGTTAAACAATCACCCAGTTCCTATGGATGTCGATTCCAGTGCAGCTGTATCTGTGGTTGCAGAATCAGTCTTTAACAAGATTCATTCAGGACTCCAATCCTTAAGTTTGCAGAAGAGCTTAGCAAGACTAAGAACATACACTGTGGAAACGTTGCAGATTAAGGCAGGCTTAAAGAAGCAGCCTACAGCGTCACTTGATGCCAATCTATCCTGGTTCCTGTTCAATTATAGGACCTTCCCCCATGCAACAACAGGGATGGCTCCAGCAAAGTTGCTGATGGGGAGAAGACTCCGTACCAGGTTAAACCTGATATTCCCAGACCTGAAACAGCAGCAGGAACGGCAATGCTGGCCACATGCCTCCTCTAAGTGAGAGAGACAATTTAATTCAGGGGACGACGTTTGGTGTTGGAGACATGGAAATGGCCCTGTATGTGTACGAGGCAAGGTTGATGCAAGGTCATGTCCTGTCACTTATAAAGTTCAGATAGGTGATACAGTCCTGAACAAACACGAGGATCACCTGAAAGCTGTTACCTCACGAACAGGACAGGAACAAAACATACCTGGCACCTCAAAACAGCCAGAAGGCCTGTTGGAAACTGT